CGCCCCAGGTCATCTGCGCGGCGATCGAGCGCGTCCTCGCGCTGCCCCTCCGCCGCCGCCGCGCCCTCGGCGCCGCCGCCAAGGCCGCCTTTCGCGCGGAGCGGCGGCTGCTGCTGACGGGCGCGGCGCGCGCGCGGGCCATGGTGCGTGACCTGCTCGCAACGCAGGGCGGCGGCCGCCGCGGCGGCGACGGCGGCGCGGATCAGGGGCAGGCAGCTTCCGGGCCGCCGCCGCGGCGGCGGCGGCGGCAGCGCCGTTAGTAGATGGTTAGTAGCGGCAGCGGGCGGGGGAGCATGGGTCGAAGGGATGAGAGACCGGAGAGGGCGCCGAACGAACGAGACGAATAACGACGAGAGTGCCAGGCGCAATCGGCTCCAAACCCTTGCACTGGCAAGTCCTTCGTGACTGGGGCACTGCCAATTCGCTGCACTTGTATTGATGTACTGTCCAGGGCGGGCACGAGCCGCAGGCCTTTACTTGGGAGCCTCAGTGTAATCTTTTGATTCGATGGACAGCAGGTGTCCGAAACACACGCGGACGGAGCCTCGCAGCTCCGCCGCAGCTGATAAGACGCCGAAGGGCGAGAAGAATGCTCTGAGGCGCAGCAGCGCAGACAATCCGTCAGGCCCCCTCCACCACAGACACGCACACGCGAGGCACTCCTCCCCGCACCCCGCAGCCGCCGACGCCGGAGCCTGTCACTCCGCTTTCTTGTTGGCCGCCGCCGCCCCGCTGCCGCCGTCCGCACCCGCACCCGCCGCCGAGTCCGCTGCGCCGCTGTCTGCGGCCTCTTCCTGCCATTCATACACCGCCTTGAACTCCCCGCGCAGCGCCGCATGCAGCGCTACCGCCCCGAGCACCTGGCGGCGGCAGCGGCAGCGGTGGGGGTGGCGTGATCCAGGTGGGGTGAGGTGCGGTGCGGTGGGGTGCGGTGGGGTGGGGTGGGGTGGGGTGCAGCGCCGAGGGGCGCGCAGGCTGCTGGCTGAGCCAGGCGGAGAATAGGAGAGGAGTCGCCCGCGCCTCCAAGATTCTGTGCTGGCCGACCGCGGCGGCCTGGGAACCCACAGCAGCCAAAGGGATTGCGCACGCAGTCCCATCTGACATGAGCGGCGGCCTCGCACGACCCCTGCCTCGAAAGGGAACGAGCCCCTCCCCTCCCCTCCCGAAGCAACCCCGCCCTCCCTTTCCCCCTCTGCCCCGCGCGCCCCGCGGCGCGGTCCTCACCGCGGGCACGATGTACAGCAGCGCCGGCTGCGCTGCCTTGAACACGTTCATGACCACGATCGTCGCGGCGACGCCCCCGCAGTACGCCCAGAACACCGTCTGGAAGTAAGACGACCTGAACTGCCGCTGCGCGTCAAAGCGCAGGCAGAGGGCCACAAACAGGCCGGGCAGGACGATGTCTCCGAGCCCGAGCATCGCAAACTGCGCCTTCTCGCCCGCGAGCGCCGCGGCGCGGAGGGAGGAGCGCGGGAACAGCAGCTTGATGGGCGCCTCAAAGTTCTTCGCGACGGACACCATGACGGGGGTGCAGAAGACCCAGAAGATGTCGTAAAAGAAGAGGCCGGTCAGCAGGATGCCCGCGGTCTGCATGCTACCGAGCGACATGGCCTCGATCCCGACGATCGAGAGGGAGAGCCCGAGGAGGTTGTTGGCCAGCCAGCCCTTTGTGAGGAAGTACCAGACGCCGACAGCCAGCGCGGGCGGCGCGAGGGCCGCCTCGGGGACTGTGAGCTCGAGGGGGAAGGGCTCCTTCACCAGGAACGGGATCTTGGGGACTGCGGCGGCGGCGGCGGCGGTATCCGAGGACCGGGTCGGATGGCGGGGGGACGTGGGTTGTAGGCGCCAGGGTTGGTTACGCAGTGCCGCGCGCGGGCCGGGGCCGGAACAGGCGGGGCAGCAGGGCGGGCGTGACGCTGGCAAGGTAAAGACCGGCTCGCCGCCGCGTGAGGCCCGTGCCCACCCGTGAGGAAGCGGATCACGCGGTCGCGCTCCTTGGCAGGGAACAACCGCTCGACAAACGGCAGCACGGCGCCGACGACGACGACTGCGCCGATGATGGTGATGTAGCCCGCGAGCAGGAGGTTGACCAGCTCCTTCGGCAGGAACTTGAAGCACAGGAAGAGGCCGAACAGGACGCACGACCCGACCAGCGGGAAGCGCATCGCGTCCGAGTTGGTCATCTGCTCCTGCGGCCCGCCGCCGCCGTCGGCGTCGCGCACGCTGCGCCAGCTGCCGACGTAGACCGTGAGCGCCGCGTGCAGCACGATGTTGACGCTGTACGGGATGTGGACGACGTAGGGCAGGAAGGTCAGGCCCGCGAGCAGCGCATGGGCCTTCACCGCCGGGAGGCCGCGCGCATGGTGAACCATGGCGCGGTTGCTGCCGCCGACCTGCGCCCGCCGCCGCCGGTGCTGGGGCCGCGGTTCTGAGGCTGACGCCGCCGCTAATTGATGGCAGGGGCCCTGAGGTGAAGATCGGTTCGCACTGCTGCAGCAGGAAGGGGGAGCAACGAGAGAGGTGCCCGAGATCGTTCAACAGCGAACGGTCGCTGCTGCAGCGCACATGGAATGCAAATTACTATCTTTAGCCCTCCAATGATCGCGATCAGGCGGGCAGCTTCTGTGCAGGGACGCACCGTCGATCCACCAGAGGCTCGTTGGCACACCCGAGTGCAGCTGTATGAGACAGGAGGACTGGAACAATCCAATTGCAAACTATCGGTATAAGTGATGACACATGCACACCGGTATCACGACGAGGCCCACATGATTTCTCCGTGATGGACAGCAGGTGCCCCAGGTGCCCGCCAGCGGCACTGCATGGGGGCGGCCACAGCGCGAGCGGGCGACCAACTGCACCGGGTGCCTGCATGGCCATACAGCTGCTTGGGTGATTGACCTCTGGCTGCCTGACTCATACTCTCAAGTTTAAAAGCAAATAGCGCGCTGCCGCCGCTGCAAGGCGCACACGCATGCCCCTGACCACGCTACCACCTGCGGCCCGGGCAGCCTGCGTCGCTTGTGCCAGCTGCCTTCACACCTTGACCCAGCCTGTCGGGGCGTCTTCAGCCCGTGCCGACGCCCCTAGCTCGTCTGCGGCATCCCCATGCCAGGGGCCAGCCCCCGCGGTCTGCTGTTGTGTTGGGTCGACCCCGCTGCACTATGAGGACTGCCAACCGCCAGGCAGGACTGCGCTACGAGTCAACCAACGCGCGGTCTGCATGGTTGCCTGGGAAATTACAATACAGAGGTGCATCGCAGCAAGCTGTGTGCGGTCAAACAGGCGCCACCAGGCGCCGCAGCAAAAACCAGGTGTCACTCGGGGCGCCAGGGCGGTGGGCCCCTCCCTGCCCTGCCTCTATGTCACCCTGATTGAAGTGAGTTTGAGATGAGACGCCTACGAGGTCATGAATCGCATTTGTGAAGTTGGCTCAAGCACAATGTACAAGTTATCCGGCGTTTTGCAGTGCAGGCCGCATGACCGCCGGCAAGGCGGGAGGCTAGCAGCCTTTGGCAAGCCTCAATCCTGACCTGGTCTGCAGTCAAGTGCGCAACGAGCAGTGCATCATGACGTCAGCATGACATCACATCCCATGGGCGGCCACCGCCGCGACGCTGGGAGGCGCCTGAAGCGCTGGCCGCTTGGCGGCGTGAGGCATTTGGTCGCCTGTCAGGACCTCGTCTCTGCTGCGCGCCTTCTTGGCCGATGGCTGCTGCTGCTGCTGCTGCTGCTGCTGCTGCTGCTGTGGCCGCTGCGACGCCTGCTGCTGCTGCTGCTGCTGCTGCGGCTGCGGCTGCTGCAGGGGGCCCGGCAGCGGCTTCGCGACGACGCCCGCGGGGCGCGCCGTGCCTGGCCGCTGCGCCTGCTGCGCCCCGCAGTCGGAGCCTCCGCTTCCCTGTGACGCGGCCCGCGCCGGCGGGGCCGGCTGCTGCGCGTGCGTCGGCGCCGGCCCGTGCATCTGCATGGCCGGGTGCTGCACCTGCATCTGCATCGCGGCCATCGCTGCCTGCCCCCACTCGCCGCCGTTGACGGCCGCGTACGGCATAGCCAGCGCGTGGCCGGGCCCCCAGCCCGCGCCACCTGGCCCGGCCCCATGCATGCTCTTTTGCATCTCTTCCAACAAGCGGTACAGAACCATGTTGGCCGTCTGGCGCGTGTTTATCAACTCGGACGCAAGCGCGGCCACCGCCGCGTCGGCCGCCTTTTTGTCGTTTGCGAGCTCCTCCGCCTGCGCGCGCAGCGCCGCGAGCCGCTGCTCGAGCGCCGCCAGGCGCGCCGCGCCGCCGCCGCCCTCGCCTGCGTCTGCGTCTGGCGCCCCTGCCGCCCCCGCAGCCGGCGCCGCGGGCGCGGCTGCGGCCGCGCCGGCGAGCGCGGCGGTTAGGCAGCCGTTTTCTGCGATGAGGGCGTCCACCTCTGCAGCCAGGCGCGAGGCCTCGAGCGGCAGGTCATCACATGGGGCCTCCAGCATGGCCCGGCAGCCGCCCGGCCGGCAGGCCGGGGTGGGGACGGCCTCCAACGAGGGATACTACAGCCGGCGGCGCTCGGCCGGGGTCGGTGCAGCCGTCGGGCGCGCTGTCCCGAGCGCGCACAACGTAATGGGCGGAGCTGCAGCGGGCGCAGGCAGGGCCCTGTTGCGGTCGCTGCTGCGTCCGTTGGAATCCGGCGACTACAATGTGACGTGGAAAGCTTGTATGCCTCCTAGGGGTGCGGAGCCTGCGCGGTCTTGCACCAGGTTGTTGCTCCCGAGACGGGGTTGTGCCTCAAAACGTTCAGTGTGTTGGGTGCCACGAGGTGCCATGCACGGTTTAAGGTGATTGGGCTGAACTGCAAGCGAATGAGCGCAGGTGGTTGAGCGGGGTGATCTCGAGCACCGGCTAGGCGGGAAGCTGTGGAGCCCGTGGAAGCAAAGCGCAAAAAATTACATATCCAGCTGGCATGACTCAATTTCGAGCCGGTGCTGGGTGGCTGGGGCGGCGGGGTACACTGCCTGGCCCGCCGACAAAAAGCAGTGAAGCAACGCATGAACGGCGGGAGCTCACAGCACAGGTTGCTGCTCAAAGACGCAGTCCTTTTGCAGAAACATGAACATTAGGTGTCAAATCAGGGGAGACCGGATGCCAGCGCCCGCCGCCGCCGTGCGCCGCTACGGCCGCGGGGCACGGCCCAGTTGGTTGTGGGGGCCGAGGGTGGCAGGGCGCGCCGTGCAGCGTCGTGAGCGCGCGCAGCAATCGCCCTCGCGCAGAACAGCCAGGGGCGCCTGGACAGACAGAGACACAGCCAAGGTGCTGCGGAGAACGCCCGCGCGTGCGAGCCGCGTGCGATCAAAAACGCGAGGCTGAGGCGGCAAAAACAAGGGCCCGTCGAGTGGCCGGCAGGGGGGGCCGCGGAATGCCGCTGCACGCCTGCGCCGGCCTGGGCCCGCGGAGGGCGGCACGAGCGCCAGAATGTTCGCGCGGTGCCAAGGAGCATCAGCAACATCATCAATAGTGCGGCGCCGCGGCGCCGCGGGGGAGGGGCAGCGGGGGGTGTTGCCTTCGGCAGAGGCCGAGGCGCCCTGGCCGCAGCCCCGGCCCGCCCACCGCACACGCATGGCCGCGCGGCGTCCGCCCCAAGTCAATTGATGCCTGGGGAAGGCGCCGGTGCTCAACAGGGCGGTGTTGGGGTGCCGGGGGTGTATTATGGTGGCACGCCCCCCATTGTTGGGTCCCTGACAGCCGTCTCAAAGGGCCGCCTGCGTAAAGCTTTTACGACTCATCACCCTGCCCAGAGCCGCGCGGCGCCGGCGCGGCCGGCCTTTAACCCAGCGGGGACCCGCCCGCCTCGCCCGAGCCCTCCCGCCCGCCCTCGTCGCCGTCGCTCGCCGCGCCCGCGCCCGCGCCCGCGCCCGGCGACGCCGGCGCGGCCCGCTTCCCGGCGCGCTCCCATTCGTCGCCGTCAACGCCGTTTGCGGCCGCGGCGCCGTCCCCTGGGTCCTCCGACTCCTCCCTCGGCCGCTTGACCCCCGCATGACCACCATCGCCGCCGCCGCCACCGCCGCCGCCCTCTCCGCCTGCTGCCATCCGCTCGAGCGCCGCCGCAAACGCCGGCGGCAGCGCGCCCGCGGCCGCGGCCGCGCCCATGAACGGCGCGGCCATCTGCGCCACCAGCGCCAGCTGCGCCGCCGCGTCTGCCGCGGCGG